GGGGGGGGGGGGGGGGACCAAGCGTCCCTGTCTTTCTCCCACACGGGGATCGAACTCTTGTGTTCCGCGTGCGACACGGGAGCGCCTTATTGCTATAATTCAGACGCCGGTGGCTCGGTTCCAATGTCTCTTGATTTGCTCGCAGAAAATCATAACTCGGTTGGTTAAAAAACAAATCGCTATCTTTTTGACAAAGTTCATTCTTACATTTTTAGCAGTTTTGAGTTACCAAGACCATGAGGTCAGAAACCAAATGATCTATTTTCTCTATCAAAACTGTAAAATTGTTCGGAGTCGTTATCAAGATATTCAAAGAACTGCATTCGAAACAGCTTGACATGTTTTGAAACTCAAAACTTTTGACGTCAAATTTCTGAAAACTAGATACTGAGCAAATAGAACCTCGTAATTCTAGGGTAGCAACGTGTAGCTTTCTTTTTTTCCCGAGAACGCGAGTAAAAGTGAACGACACAAGAAGCAATAGTATTGCCAAACAAAAAAATTTAAAGATACAGAAAGAAGATTTTAATATTAATGTGTAATCTTTCAATGCTCCCAGATTTTGAACCCCACTTTCGGCTTCAACTTAAACAAATTTCACAAAACGGCTCTAGATATAAATCATAAATACGTACCAAAAAACATCCACAAAACCCTGGAAAACAAGTTCTGATTCTGTGGGTAGTGCGATGATGCAGTAAAAAAAAGAAGGCTGCATCTATATCAAAGAGCCGTCGACCACAACACTACGACAGCAAAGTAGTTGGCTCAGAAGCTGTTGCTAAGGCAGGTACATGCCTCAGGAAAAATAAAAGACACTCTTGTAGAAAATGCATCTTCAAAATGGACAGTGAGACACCAATCAGCAAAGTTTCCAAAATAGCGAAACTGTTTTTAAGCCTCGGACGCCACCCGGCACGTAGATAGGCCGGATGGCACCACATCAGAAACACAGATGGACATTGCAAACACGATTGTTACATCTCTTTTGAATAACTCAACCAAAACATACTGCAGCACCTTCCAAACCATCAGAACTAACAAAGAACAACAACAACACTTAAACGTCCACTCAGTCAACACAGAAACTTACAACGCAGACTTTAATTTGAAGAACTCAGATCAAGCATTTCGGACCAGGACAATAAAGCCCCTGTTTCGGGGTGACATACACAATCATATCATTAGACACTTACCCACAAAGACACTCACACTTCTACTAAAAAAAAGCTTATATACAATGACATGTGGCAGTCGCACACCTTTCTAGAATCCTGACAACTTGCAACTGTCATTCCAATTCCAAAACCAGGCAAAAACCGGACACACCCATCCAACTACAGACCAATCGTATTGACGAGCTACCGATATAACCTTGCAGAAAAAATAATCAACAGGCGATTCGTGTGGTTTCTGGAGACGACGGGCTCGTTGAGTAGTCTCCAGTGCGGGTTCATGAAATTTGACCCACTCTGGACCACCTGGTCTGCCTGGAGACTTTTAAACGCGAGACCTTTACCGAAAGAGGCCGCGTGATCGCCATCTTTTTTTTTTACCTCGAGAAAGCTTTCGACACAACGTGGAAGTACAGTATCCTTCGAGACCTGCACGTTCTCTGCCTGCACGGTCATCTCCCTGCCTTCATGGCAATATTCTAAAGAATTGTTCCTTCCAGGTTCGTGTCGGATCCTCCCTTTCTGATCCCCACCTACAAGAGGAAGGTATTCCTCAGGGAAGCCTCCTTCCTCTTCGAAATTAAAAATGAATTCCATAATTATTCAGGCCCTCTAAAACAGCACGGACAGCTCGGTACATGTATATGTTGACAACGTTCTGGTATTGTGTCGATATAGAAACCTTCAAACGATCCATGGAAAGACAGCTACAGAAGCAGCTGTTTAAACGTTTAAAGTGGGCAACGAAAACGGTTTCAAGTTTGTCCCATCAAAAACGGTTACGGTGCACTTCTGCAGATCCGACCGACATATAATGCTACCGGAATTGGCATATACGGGGAAAGAATGCCTGTTCTGGACAAGGCTCGTTTCCTCGGAATTATTTTTGACAAAACTAACATTCCAACCTCATGTTAAACACCATCGTGCCAGGTGCCAAAAAGCTTTAACCGCTTAAAAACATGCATCACATTCGGAGTGGGACGGGGACTCCAAACACACCCTCCACCTTTACTGGTTCCATGTCCGATCCAGGTTTTACTAGGGTTGTCTAGCGTCTAGTCTATGGATCGGCAAGACCCCACACATATTAAAAATGCTAAACCCCGTACGAAACGAAGGACTCAGCCTCGATCTGTGGGCTTTCCGCACTTCTCCAGTAAAATGCGCCAGGCCGAGGACAACAGATCATACCTATCACTCAGACGAACACAACTTTCATTACAGTAGGCCTACACAATTTTACAGGAACTCAACACCCAGAAACCCAGAACACGGTTGCATTTTAAACCACTTTCAGACACAATAAACACGTTCAGAAACAGCGACAAACTAATTAAACTTTTTGGCTGAGTGTCCTTGAGGACCTCGAAAACATAGATCAAAACGTCTCCTAAAAAGACACATAACATTATTTTCTCCTCGACCTCCATCCGTGATGGCACCTCAACAAGGCAAAAGTAAACTTAGACCATACAACACAAATCATTCACAGACATGTATCATGTATCAAACAATACACCTACACAGAGAAATTCTCCACACACGGCTGTAATTTGAATTCAGCTGTAGGCGCCACAGCCCTGTCAACACAGAACACTCATCAGAGGAAGCTCCATATGAGGCCCCCATTTTTTCTGCGAAGGCCACTGCCATTAGATCTGACATGACACTGGACTCCGTGGAATATTCTCTCCTAAATCATCCTTTGGCATTCTGTCCGAACCTTTGTTTTGCCTCACTTCACTCACCAATCTCGCTCTTTTAAACCCGAAAATAGTTAAATTGCCGTTGAGGGTTCATTCTTTGACTAAGAAAAAGGGGGTGGAGGGGCGTGTTGTGTTTGCATGACAAACTAGCAATGTAGGCATCAGAGGGAACGAGCAGGTCGATCATCTGGTGAAAGAATCCTTGTCCCTTCTGTTGGGATTAACAGAGAACAACTTCCCAAGACAGAGTTTAAAAATAGATCAACAGTGTTAAAAGAGACGTTAAACCTATCCCATTTCAGCATTTTTTTTTCACGGTTAAAGATGTAGGTTGTTTTTTTTATCAGTTTAACAAAGATTTTAGAGAGATTTATTAAGCCGATTTTTTAATTCAAACATGTGTAACAAAATAGGACAAATTGGCTACCCTACAAACATGTATGCACGTGTGTGTGTGTGTGTGTGTGTGTGTGTGTGTGAGTGCGTTTATATGGGTGCGTGTGTCCCTGTGTGCGGGTGTTTGTGTGTATGTCTGCACATGTTTGTGTGTGTCTGTATATATATGTGTGCAAGTGTGCGTGCGTGTGTGTGTGTGTGTGTGTGTGTGTGTGTGTGTGAGTGTGGTGTGTATGTGTTTGTGGGGACAATATTCAGTCTGTGACAAGCAGCTATCAATGTCAGTGAAAGAGAAGTGTGCTTTTTTTTGGGTGTTGTTTATTGTCGTTGTTGTTGTTTCTTTTTTAAAAGTATTTTTCGGCGCTCATAACTGCAAAAGGTCATATGAACGCTCAGTTTGGGAGGAATTTTAAATTTTGCCCGGGTAACCACCTAAGCCTAATCTTATCGATTTGGACCACCAAGGGATCTTTAACAGGCGCAACTTGCACACGGGACCTCCGAGATTTTTCGCCTTTGTCCGAAAAGGTGCTAGATCTTACTTAGCGTAAGACTGTCCCCGCGGTTTTATGTTTTTTTAAAAACCCTTAAAATTACGCAAACTGGGCAAAAAAAGTGAAATTATGCGATTTTGTTAATTTTAGCAAAGAAGGATAAAGGAAAATAATAAGAAATTATGCACCAAAATAATCAAATTTTGGTTAAATTATGCAGGGTGCATAAAACCCCGGGGACAGATAAGATCAAGGGGGTGTGACTGAAAGACAGCAGTAAGAAGGAGCCAAGGAGTAGCGGTAGAAAGCGGCAGACAGTCAGGAGCCCAGAGGAGGGGGCAAAGGAGATGAGAAGGTGGAGGAGCAGAAAGTGCAGACGAAAGCAGACAACAAAACATTGTTAGTGAGCAGGAAAGGAGGTGAAGGCGACAATTTAAGAGCAGAAAATTTCGGTCGCTGTCAGGTTTCGAATCCAAGACCTATTGCATGAGAGGCGAACACCGTAATCGCAAAACCATTAGACCCCCCCCCTCCCGAGAACTGTATGTGTATGTGGGTCTGTGTGTGTGTGTGTGTGTGTGTG